AAGTATGTTTAAGAGTTTGTTTTGAATGTGACTTATTTCAATTTGTTGACATCAATATATTTCACAGCAAGGTAACTATAGTTATTAGTTCTAATATATTCCAGGACATTCTCCCGGGGATATAAGTTATCTATAAAGTTATTTAACTTCTGATTATTACCGTCAGAATAAGGCTTAGCTTCATAAAACCAAACACTGAGCAACATTTCTGTCATAATTCAGTTTGTACATTGTCATAAGATGCTAAAAAGCATCTGTCCAGATCAAGCGAGAGCGGTAGACATATATGGGCATATTTTTTTCAGATTATGTGTTTTTCAGGATAGTTTTACTTCATATTATACATTGACCTGCAGAAGTTTCACTTTGATTTGGCTGGAAGTTCACTCTGCATGCAGAGCTGAAGTTTGAGATCGGTTCTTACTACGCAAAGAGCTGCTTGAGTATAGCTTGAGGTATTTCAGGAGTACCCTGGCAGTGTTGATACAGTACGGAAATCATGCGTCGGAAGGTAGCTGAACTTAACACTGCTTGAAAATACTGCTTGTTTTAACTAAGGAAAGAATAAAGGAGGAAGGATCACTAAACTGTAAAGCAGTTGCTTACAGAATTCTTTCCAAAAATCACTGTATTCATATTCAACCTGCACTGAAATCTGAAATTTTTTTAAACTTAATTTACAAATGGTAAAAAGCAACAGAGGCAGGTTCCAGGCACTGAAATGGATAAAGAGTCTTGGGGGGAGCTATGCATCTGCCTTGTATATTTGTTATCATCCAGGCGCAACTTTGAATTGTCTGCATCACAGAGCAGTGTCAGGACTCCTTGCAGGAGCTCTGATTACATCAGAGATGCACTGCAGAATTCAAAATACTGCAGAGGACATGGGGGGGGACAACACTTGCAGTGGAATTTTAGCATGTTACTCATGATTCCTATTTCTTTCCCTCAGAAGGGCATCTTTAAGAATTCTTTCCCCATTGTCTAGGAGCCTGGCACCCTTCCTGAATTTTGGCTGAAAGTAAGGGCAGTACAGATTTCTAATTCAGTTTCTTCACCAGACGTAATAGATAAGAATATCATCTTGTGCAAGACAGATTTTTGAAAAGATGTTCTATCTTGCTTCACATGCACACCACACCATTTAGAGAGTCACCAGGAGCCCTTGCGATGGCCGAGTTACTCTCTATTACTGTAGCTTCTCGAAGCCAGAACAAGGATCAGGATTGTATAATGTAGGAAAAGACAGTTCTTGCCCTGGTAAGCTTTCAAACAAAATAGGAAACGATGCTGAGAGGAGTGATTTACCCAAGTCAAGAACACATTATCAGCAGGGGAGCTGGAGAGATGAACTGGGCTTCACTAACTCGCGAGGATTCAAAGGGCAGAATACTATCTCTGACAAGGAGGGGTCGTACCCCTGGGCTTACTTAACCAGAGCAGTTGTATTGGAGGGTTTTACTCTTACAGCATATCCTTAAAGTTCATTGTGTTTAATTGTTGGGAAAATTGTTGCTATAGGCTAATGTGTTTGTCTGACCTTATATTCCAGTGTGTTGTCTTCAATCCTTAACGCATTTCTTACAGCCATCCCATCAGTCTGCAATGTATGAATAGAACTGTTTCCTTGTTTTTTAAGCTCAATAGCAAAAAAAAACCCTTCCATTAATTAATCCATCTTAAAGCAGTAATGACTATCATCCATTAGAAGCACCTTCCAAAGGAAAGCAAGAAACATACAGAACAATGTCTGGCTTTATTTTATTTCTTCCTCTTTTTCTTCAAGTCAGGCCATCATTCCAATCATCCTTTATTTCCTCCTTCCCCCTTAGATATGATGCTACCTGTCCGTGGCAAAGAACATGTAAATAACGTGTACAGCGTCAGATACCATAGCTGCCTACCTGGGATCTGTGGGCTTGGCAGTTCTGGTTATGGAAAAAGAAGGAGCCACCTTTCTTTCAGTGTGTCACACAGGGGATTAATTTGTCCAATTTATTGTCTTGCACAGGTTGAGAAGCTGGAAGCGAAGAAAGAAATTATTTTTTCTTTGCTCTGTTGTTTCACAGTTGATGCCTCAGGGTTACAGCATGTGTCTGACACACAGAGAACATTTACATTTCCCTCTCCCCATTTCTTCCCATTGTGTCAACAGTGGATGCAGTGGGAGATCAAACCAGCGACAGAGATGAGCTGCCTCCTCATTTTTTCTGGCTGAGATTCAGAGGAGAAGTTGTTGCTAACCAACATCATCTGGTATTACAGAAAGGAGAATGGTTAACAGCTCCCATTTATCTGTAGTCTTCTAGCAGTCATAATCTTTCTTCTCTTTGGGCCAGCCCTGTCTTAGAGGGACAACACTTGTTTCTAAGTCAAACAAGAATTACTCTAAGAAAATGTACATAAATATACATCCAGTAGCCCTGTTTTCCCACATCAAACCAACAACTTCAACTCCTAGTGACATTACTTCTACTGATGGTATCTTGGGAATTCTTCAACAGAAGACCAGCTCCGAGGTCGTTAGGAGCTCTGCTTGTGATGGGACATACGTCAGGGTAATTGCAAGTTACCTGTTCTGTACTTCCTCTGTCAGCAAGGTCTAGCCAGCACTATCTGAGCCAGCTATCACTCTCCTCAGATCCCTCCATTTATCCGAGTCCTGCAGCTTTTCCAGCATGCAATGGCACAGTGCCATCCTTTGTCATGAAGCTCCACTGATAATCCCAGTAGTGGCTAGAATTTCCTAGAATGGGACTTCTTAATACAATTACGTTTCACGTTAATGTTCTTTCAAAAAAAAAAAAGACTTTCAGGTCAGCAGACCTTTGCTCAGTCTTTTTTGAGGCAAGAGACAAACCAAAATGGGTTGGAAGTTTATTTGAGTGCACGCCTGCAGGACTTTGTCATTGTTTGCACCCACTGTTAGTTCCAGAGTTCAGAAGTGCCTATCCCCTGCCATGGGGATTTCCAGAGCCATAACTGGCCAAAGACAGAGCTACTCAGCAATACCAGCAAGTATGTAGTGATGAGGCACTGAAAGCTAAACACAGGATTTTGGCATGGAGAACAGGTTACCTGCCAAATAGTTGTTCTCAAATCACTAGCAATAGTCATAAAGATCCCACTTTGTGATAGGAGCAGGGTGACAAAGCTTACCTCTTAGCTTACCTCAGGCCTCAAAAGAGTACCACAGCTCTTGGAAGATGTGCATCATGCCTTGTCCATTCTTGCATATTCCCGTAGGCTTTTCTTTATCCATGTGCCCTAGAGGTAAGTAAATGAATGATTTCCTTTAGTACTGGAGAGGATTACAGGTGAGGAATCAGGAAATAGCACTCCATTTAGAGCTCACCTGGGGCCTCCTGTTAGTAAGAGGGTGTAAGGAACTGCTCTGTTCAGAGTAATCCCTCTGGGAAGTTTAGGAGCAGGACTGAGATAGTACTTTATTGAAAGCAACATTGTAAGGTCCCTCCAAGAAAGGAAAGCCTGTTGCTCTTAAACTAAAGTGCAGCTGTGTTTTGAGTACTTTGCTGCTGTGTATTCATGGGTTTTTCTTCTATAATAGGTATGTAACACTATTGATGTGGTTTATAAACCCCAGCTTCTGAAAAGGACAGTTCTGTGTTTAAGGAAGTCACCCTAGCAGGGGTCTATATCCCCGGGGTGCATACCAAAGGGGAGGTAAGTACAGCCAGGAGAAGAAGAAAACTGTACTGCTACTGAAGCCAATCAAGTGTAATATTTGTTATTTTCCTGTGAACTGGAGGTTAGAAAGTCAGAATACTTGTGGATAATTAATGTCTATTTATTGTACAATCTACTTAATAAATACTCTTATCAAATGAAACTCGGCAACTCCACGCATTAAGCTGTAGCTGACTGTACAGATGGCAGATCTAGAAGCAACTGTACAGCTCTCCTGTCTCTGAGCAGACTTGCAGTCTGACTGTTAAAATGCTCTGAGTTTGGGAGGCAAAATGTTTAAAGTTTCCAGCGCCTGCTTTTTATACCCATCTGAACTCTGTGGCCACTTCACTCCACAGACTTTACACTAGTGTTGTGTGAGCAGAATTTGAACGTGATTTTCAAAGCCCTCATAAGAATTTCTGGGTTTCCTGTAATCAGAGGTGACGGCAGTCACCTTAGCACTCAGCTACTGTTCAGTCCATTGTTAGAACAAAGACCTATTACTGCTCATGGGATGTCAATTACAACCGAAATAATATTCCAGTGTTTGTGTAGAAAATATTTATTTCTTAAAAATCTTTTGTAAATGAAGCCGTGAAAAGGGAGTTGCCATGCCAGTAAGTATATGCAAACTCTACGCATGTTTTATGTCATCATCAATATAAGTGGGTTTTTTTCCCAAATTGTTTCCATGTGACCTTTTAGAAATTAGTCTTGTACTAACTTTTTTAGAAGTGTGTGTTTACTGAATTACAATATAACTGACTTCTGCTTCTTTCTGTGTACTTCCTGGATACTAAAATACTCTAAGATTTTTATGTGTAATAGCTAAATAGAAATACACAAATTCTTTATCTACAAATCACACTTGAATTCTGTCTTTTTAAGTGATACTGTCATCATTTTTATACTTCCATTCTGAACCAGGCATATCCTGCCACGTGCAGGAATTATTCCTGGTTTCTGACTGTGTCCACTGGGAACTGAGACCTCTGCATCTGAGACAGGAGAAGTCCCTCAGTGTGACAAACACGCTGAGCAGAGCTCCCAAACAAGGGAGCAGCCCTTGATAGAGTCAGTTCCACCCAGCTGGACAAACCCAGCCTCACCAGAAAGCTTTTCTGACCATACTCAGCCATTGCTGTTTTCTTTCCAATGGTTTTTATCAGCCATAAATGTTTTAGAGCTTCAATCACTACATTTGTTCCAAACTTAGAAAAAACCCTCTCATTCACTCACCCCATATATCTTGGTTTTGTTCCAGAAGACACCTGCTGAAGTAGCGAAGTGATGTGAAGTTATCTTCCAAGATGACTCTTCTACCTGGAGAAAATTCCGACTATGACTATAGTGCCCTGAGCTGCGCTTCCGATACTTCCTTCAACCACACATTCTTCCCAGAAACAGAAACCCTCAAGGGAGTCTTTTACCAAAGAGCCAAGCTAATTCACCCTCAAGAGGATCTCCTGAAAGGCTTTCACCCCGATGATCGGAAGCATCACATCATTATAAACGTGGGGGGCATTAAGTATTTGCTCCCGTGGACCACGCTCGATGAATTCCCATTGACACGTCTGGGACAACTAAAATTCTGTAACAATTTTGATGACATTCTAAACATCTGTGACGATTACGATGTGACATGTAATGAATTCTTTTTCGACCGCAATCCAGGAGCATTCAGGACAATCCTGACCTTTTTGCGGGTTGGAAAACTTCGGCTCTTGCGTGAGATGTGTGCACTCTCTTTCCAAGAGGAGCTGCTCTACTGGGGAATTGAGGAAGACAACTTGGACTGGTGTTGTAAAAGGAGATACCTGCAAAAAATGGAGGAGTTCACAGAAATAAATGAACGAGAGGATGACCTCATAGAAAATGAAACAACAGGTGAAACAGTAGAGGAGACAAAAATTGGCTTGTGCATGAAAAAGTTGCAAGACATGGTGGAGAGGCCCCAGTCTGGCCTCCCTGGAAAGGTGTTTGCTTGTTTGTCTGTTTTATTTGTAACTATTACAGCAGTGAACTTATCCATCAGCACCATGCCTGACCTGAGGGAGGAGGAGGAAAAGGTAAGTTAGCTTTTCAGGATGGAAAATGGTATGTGCTGGGAGGAGCAGAACAAGCACAAGGTCTGATGGTACTGATGTCAGTGGGGATTTTGCAGCTGTCTTTAGAAGGGGGGAAATAACACAAAGACTATTTGAAACCTTGCATGACTGTGTTCAATTTCTCGTAAGAGAATTGATCATATTAAGTTTTATGTCTTAATAAGGAAGTTTTGTTAGTGTGCACTCTTCTGTACCACTATGTATTACCTTGTTAAGCTTTGTATTTGCTATTTAGAAAGCCTGAAATTACCGAGCAGTATCGTCTGTGGAATGAGTAGTTCTTGTCTACATTTTGCATTTAACATGTTCCAAACTGCCAATGTGTTTCCCCATAGCAACAGCTTCAATTCCTTTAATATTTTGGGTTTAAAAAAACGCACACAGAGACTTCTCTTCCTGTCAGCGTACCAACTAAAATAGTTGTTGTCCAGTGCCAGTTACAAACTTCCTCTCTCCTGCAGGGCGAGTGTTCCCAGATGTGCTACAATATTTTCATTGTGGAGTCTGTCTGTGTGGCATGGTTTTCCCTGGAGTTCCTGCTAAGATTCATCCAGGCAAAGAGCAAGTTTGCATTTCTGCGGCGACCATTAACCCTGATCGACATAATAGCCATTCTGCCCTACTACATCACCCTGCTAGTGGACACCACTTCAGTGGGCTATAAAAAGCCCAGCTCTGGGAGCATCTACCTGGACAAAGTCGGTCTGGTCCTCCGTATTCTCCGTGCCTTGAGGATTCTCTACGTCATGCGGCTGGCCAGGCACTCCCTGGGGCTGCAGACGCTGGGGCTGACCGCGCGCAGGTGCACCCGGGAGTTTGGTCTCTTGCTGCTCTTCCTCTGCGTGGCCATCGCGCTGTTTGCGCCGCTCCTCTATGTCATCGAGAACGAGATGGCAGACTCGCAGGAGTTTACCAGCATCCCCGCGTGCTACTGGTGGGCTGTCATCACCATGACCACGGTAGGCTACGGAGACATGGTTCCCAGGAGCATTCCCGGCCAAGTGGTGGCACTGAGCAGCATACTGAGTGGCATCCTCCTCATGGCATTTCCAGTCACCTCCATCTTCCACACCTTTTCCCGCTCCTATGTTGAGCTAAAGCAAGAACAGGAAAGAATAATGTACAGGAGAGCACAGTTCTTATTAAAAACAAAGTCTCAGATAAGCAATGCGTCACAAGGGAGTGATATTTTATTCCCCAGTATCTCTTCTGAGGCTAGGGACAACGAATGAAATTTAAGTTACTATTTCTCCTGATGTCAAGTAATGTTTTGTTGTATCAGATTCCATCTTTTAATTTGCTTTGGAAGCATTTTACAAAGGTAACCCTCATATTACAATGAAGAAAAGGAGCTATTAACCAGGAACTGATGTGATTTAAGAAGTCTATTATTATGCTGTTTCTTCCCCCCCCCAGTATAATGTACAGGACAGATCTGTCAGTGAGATCATACAGTGGGATTTTAGGAATTAAAACTTCTCTGACCAAAACCAAAAGAACAATATATAGTTATGTACTCGACAGGCTGTTTTGCCATTTATAATACACATTTTTCCAACTGAATCACAGTGTACATAATCATTAAGCAGGCTGCCATTTTTCTTCTTGTATATAAATAATGTAAATACAACAAAATTAATGGCTAAATTCTCTCCTGGTAAAGAGAGCGCCTTAGAGCGTAATGGAAATAACCACAGATGTTTGTCCATTGTGCTTTAAAAAAACATTAAATAAGGTTTGCCATTCGCAACAGCAACTGTATATTTCTTTGCAAGCCAGCCCTAAACATATCAGAAAAGAAGAATCGAGCTGTTTGTATCATAACCTTGCTAAAGATGTAAATACTTATAGCTCACCAGCTTCAAAATTTAATTGAAGTTACAGTGTTGATCCTCTGTCATTGGACGCAGTATTCCCAGGAACAAAGACTTTGAGTTTTGTAGCATTTAATATTATTATCGAGAGGTGACTAGCTGCAAATCAAATGAAATATGCATGCTGAGATGCCAGTCGTTCCCTACCATCTGTTTCCATGTTTTTACTTTACCTCAGATATGAAACAGAATTAAAAGAGGCCTGTTTCCAGGGGACACCCTACCATTACTTGGCGAATCAGTGCTGCGGCTACCCATTCACATTCAGCATTTGGTTCTTTAAAAGGAGCAGAAAATATATGGTCGTGGGAAGTTGCCAGTGATGAAAAAAATAAAATATCATTTGAGTCATGGAGTGGGGGGGTACTGACAGCTTTATCCTTTACTGTCCTCAATCATGAGGGACTTAAGACTTAATTAACTGTACCTTTGCCATCATTACGCACATCATGGTAATGGAGAAAATTTTAAATTGGATATGAAAAAGCAATTAAGGTCTCAAAACACAACCATGTATTCTTCATCCACATATGTGTCTTAATACAGGTTCTCCTTCTGAACTCAGGGGAGCACATGGGTCAGTGAGACACTCAGGTTTGGCAGAGGTTTCTGTGGAGATTAACAACAGATCTCCCATTTATTTTAGAGGGAATGTGACTGGCTTGCATAACAGCTCAGGAGAAAAACACCAGAAGTTTAAAAAAAAAAAAAAAAAAGAAATCCACTATCTTGATTTCATGTGTGCTTGGAGGTAAAGAAAAGCTAATCTTAAGAGTTTCACCTTTTTCCCCCCTCTTTGTTAGTAAATTTATTAATAGTTAAGAGCTAGGGAAATTAAAAAGTTCCTATCACATTCGCCAGTGCTTCTCTATCTTAATTTTCAGAAATACTATTGCTTATTGGCATTTCTGGAACAGGTTGCTAGAAATGCCAGAATGCATGATGGTTTTGTGATGTAAATTAAGGCCAAGGACACAAACATTGTCCTTCCAAAACAGGTAAAATTAGTCTCTCACCCTGTGCTGTTTGGCCAAGCCCACACTACACTGGGTTTCATTTCAAATGCCTTTAAAATGCATTTTGAAGGTAATCTGATATGCTTGTTCTTGAAGAATAATTCGAAAACTTTAAAAGATGGACTTCACAAATAATTAGGGCTGTAGCATCCTTCAGCCAGTCACAGGTACATAAACCTATGGAAGATTACTGCAGAGCGCTGAAGTATCCAGTCTAAACTCTTGGCAATTAATTATGTCAGAATGTAACCAGCTTTTCGCTCATTTTCTTCAGCTTTAATTGGAGTTGGACAAAAAACAGGAACATCGTGACAAAAAAGGGACACATTTTCCATCCAAAATATTCTTAATTTCAAAACTGTTAGATCATCTGTAGCATTGGCTCCAACACAAGTGCTATACATCCTTCTACCTTTGTGTCAGCATTCGTTATAAAAAGAACTGGTAATTAGATTAGTCCTGTGAGCAACAGTTGCTTATCTAAGAATGTGTTTGACAGGCTGAGCCATAAATAAGAAGCTGTAAGTGAATAGAAGGAGAAATCAAGACTTACCAAATAAAACCTAAGCTTATTTCCATGTTATGCTAGCTAATAAATGCTGAAGGTCCATCCATTTTCCCCATGTCTTCAAGTTAATGATAATTTATTCCATGTATCACTTTATTTTTTTATCTTAAAGTTATGGTTTGATTCTGAAGTCCTTGTTCAGGGAAAAAAACCCACCATTACAAATACACCCTGAAGCTGGGTCTTGGTTGAGCAAACCTGTGAAAGCATCTTGCCTGCTGCAAGTTCTGCCTAAGCCAGGAACAAATAAGCTGTCCAGAACGTACCCCTATGTAATTTTGTACTTGGCAACACATTACTTGTAAGCCTATCAACATGTTTCACTATGAATCACTGTAACAAACTTGCTTATGTTTTACAGGAGGTAATACATACTGTAGTACTTACGATAAATAAATCCAGCTATAAGTCTTAAGAGCACAACATTAATATGAAACCCACATGCTGCGTTCCAGCTTTTACTGTGAAGGCTGAGGGTCTATGATTATGCCTCTTAGCAGTATATTATCTGAATTTCTAGTCAAATTCATGAAAATTATGGATTGATTCAAAAGCTGACTCTTGCCAGTGACACAGCTGACAGCTACCAAGTCAGCTATCACTCCTCTTTTGCATTTTAACAGTATGTGCAGTCAACAAGAAAGTTCCAATAAAAATACTTCGTGCTTTTATGAAGTCAAAAGAATTGTTTGAATTGCCACTGGTAAAGTGGTGCATGTCTCCAATAGAGAAAGGCTTGCATTGTTATTTATATTATCCTCTGTATACTGCAGTGATATGTACAGTATGAACTCAAACAGCAGTAGCTGTATTAATTTTGAGTAATAAAGTGTTAGGCTCTCCTTTCATTTTCATGTGCTTCTTACGGCAGAGACAGACTGTCTCACGTGCTATAGGCATGCGTGACAACCTGGGGTCAACACGAGCAGTGAGCGGCAGCTAAGGGAGAGTTTGGGCTGTGAGCAGTGCTGGCTGAAGCAGGCTGGCTGTGACAGCAAGGAAAATTACCTCCGTATAAGAAAAATATAGGTACCAGTTCAGAAGCTCGTATAGGAAACCTCTGTCGTGCATGTTGTCCCAGGAATCACAATCTCAGTTAATTGGGACATACCTTTAAAATATTTTAACCATTTCAGCAGAGAATCTAGCAGATTCAGAAAAGAACAGGAAGGATCCGTGGAGATTCATAAAGACAAAAATCCCTGATAAAACCAGAATTTCCAGGTAAGGTGGTATATTAAATTACTTTCTCCAAGAGCTTTCCCTCTATCATCTTCCTTCCTCAAAAACCGTAAGAAAAGCAACAAAAATCACTTGATGAGTGCAACACTGACAAATGAAGACAGAGCTACGGGGCTTCTCTAACTGTACATCAAAGAAGATCATTTGCAAGGTGAGTTGGAGTAATTGGTATTACATGAACATTCATTACAGGTCAAGGTCTTAGGGAAATTTCTCTTTAGGGAATATATAGGTCTTGTCTCCATTTGTCCATTTACATGTTTTCCACTGTAAATCAGTACTCCAGATTTCCACAGTCAGAGGCGTTAGTAGTGTCAGTGAATAGTCAGAGTCTTTAGCAATGCTCAAATAAACAATTAAAAAAAAAAAAAATCATGCAGAACTGAATCACGGATTTGCACATCATCAGACGCACGTCTGGGAAGGAAAACTGGCATGCTCTATACATTCATGACTTGTGTGGGTGGAGTTTATCTGGGTATTCAGGCTGTTGCAAAAGGTAGTTTCTGCTATAGAAGGCTCTCTCATTCCTACTGCTGTAGCTCTCCTCTGTAACTAAACCCAAGGGTTCACAGGAGTCTCGGAACAAAAGCCTTCCACTCGGTCCTTTGGGCTACAGACTAAGGCAGAGTGAAAATTCATTCTAGGCACTTACCAAAGTGCCTGAAGTGGCATCAAAGGATCTGAATCACCACTGTGAGAAAGGCAGTCTTCCCTGTTTTTAATGAGGGAGCCTAGAATGAACCTAATGCAGGTGTCACATGAAAAAGCCAATGTTTGGATACGTGTTCTGTTCTCCAATTGCACAGAACCACTAACAGGTACCAGTGCTAACTCCGCATTACTTGTGCTTCCCACATCTCTGTATGTGGGGACCAAGCAGTTGGAAGCAGCCCAAAGAATCTGGATGCAGAGAGGTCAGCTTGCTCTTGATCAAGGTCACTTTGAAACAATAAGACAGCAGCAAATCTAACAGTTCTTGGCAGCTCATGCCTGACTGTAAAATAGTTCTTTTCCATACAACTACTGACTTTTTTTGCTTAAATCGGAAAAAACACTAGTTAAGTTAAACCAAGAGGAAAGGAATAGATACTTCTCATAACAAAGCTACAAAATTTCACATCCCTTTCTTGGTTTTGCAACAGGCTGAAAACTGGACTGGATAATCCTAAACCTACATAGAATTAATTGACTGAGTTTAATCAGAAATTAAAGAAAAAAGTGACAAATGTGACTTTGAAGACTGTGACATCAATCTCTGCTCACGTGTCAGTCAGTGACATTACACCCTAACCTGACCAGGTGACCATCCTGGTTGTCAGAGAGTTTCACCATTCTCATATTCATTACTCAACATTTTCAGCTCTATCAGTATTTGCTACAGTCGTATATGGCCCAGTGTTTTTCTGTGTTAATTGTTATGTTGGCTACCTTTTGCAACGTTTGACAGGGAATTTGGTATCTATTTATCCAAAAGATTATATGGGTACCAAAAATACAGGGGGAAAAAAAAGCCCAAGGACAATGCATTC